AGGTGTGTGAGGTGGTTAGCTCTTATAGAATCTGGGATGAGAGAGAAATTGAACTTTCAGCTGGTCATTGATTCATTTGTAGAGAAAAAACTGTTTTCCTGGCTAGGAAACCTTTCCTAGGGACTTTGCTTTCCGATGTCCCCTCCTCCCGCTTTGGTTATAATCTGTGTTTCGGCAAGAAATGGGAAGGAAACTAGTAACCTGGCCTCCTTCTTTGAAGATTACATTCGTCTGCATTCGAACAAGTTCCAAAAGCGGTGAATCATCGAGGAAGAGCTTTTCTGACGACAGACCAACTTTGATTTGCATAACACCATGAATCATCACTGCCCAGTAGGCCAACATCACTCCTGGAACGAGATTTATGAGGGTGCCTTTAAAGAGTCACAGTGCTATTAGGAGGTAAACAATTCCAAACTCACCTCCCACAATGAATTTGCTCCAGATTGATAGACTGAAATCAACCCATGCATCAAGGATGACGTCGAGCATTTTTGAAGCCTGTCGCACAATCCACGAAGGTTTCTCATTTTTCTCGAGCTAAATTCGATTCATTTACAGAGCTTTATTGCCGTTCTTTTGCCCGTGCTACAAGGAGGAGGGATAAGAACCAAATGCGCACCACTTACTTGACTTTCCCCACATCCCCTCTCTCCACTACCTGCACCACCAGAAACACCACGGAAAAGTTCACCAAGGCATAAACAATGATGTCATAGCGAATAATAAAAAACCTACTTTTTTATTAGCTCGCAATGACAATGAATTTCTGACCCTGCCTACTCATAGGTTTCTTTCATCATTAACAAAACTGCCACTCAACCAACCGGTAGGAAGGGTAGCAATAACGTACCAGTATTCCCACAGCAAGGGGCCTCGGTTTCTGGGCAATTTCCGTAGTCGTCTACGGAGAGCTCATATTTTTCCTTTACAGTGAGCAACCGGTTGTTGCGAGCGCGGCACGCCGTTCGAGTGCAAAACATCATTACGGTAGGAAACGGTATGTAACGGTAAACTATATTGTATTTCACAAGACCGTTTAACTAATCAGTGGATGGGGGCCAAGCGCAGGTAAAAATTTGGGTTTATCATCCCTGAATCGCAGTAGCTACGAGTGAGTTCTCCACCGTTCTCGCAGTCGTGGTGACAGGTCAGATGCTGACTTCCTGTGAACGCGTGATACAGTAACCTTCCTAGTGCCCGTCGCCATCAGGCTTTCCCAGTTTAGGCACACAATTCAACGACTTTATGGGACCAACTCTACCTTTGAACGGAACCATCAAAAAGTAAATGAACGCATCAAAAATCATAGACTAGACATGTACGTACCTTTGTCGGAGGAGGCACTGTCATACAGCAAAGATAGGCATTTCCTCGACGTGCTTCACGATGACCTCCTAATGTCAGTACGGCCGAGAAGAAGAATATTTGGTAGATATAGTCGTAGATAACCGCCACAGAAATAAAGAGGCAAAATGTCTGTAAGTACACATAGAAGTAAGTATCCATGTAAAATAAAACAGCAGAAGGTTAAATCCTTTTGTAACCCCCACCAGTTGTATTCGAAACCTATGCCTCAAAATCCGCTCGTCAAAACTCTAAATTAAATAAAAGTGATTTTGCAGCAGCGGTTGGTCCCCCTTATGAGCATTGCAATGATTCCCATTGCAGATCTATGGCTAACGCAGTCTGTGCATCCGAACAGATCCAGCAAAGCAAGTATTTCTCTTGAAGCGCCAATTGTGCGCTGCAACGAGAAGCTTTTCAATTTGGTCAAGCCCAGCGGCTGCATCCCTGCAACGGCAGCCCTGAATCGTCTTCAACTTAGGTTCTGAAAAAATCTACCAGCCGTCCCTGGCCCAAAACTGAGGTCAAGGAAACACGATCTAGTAAAGAGCGTTCTAACATTCCTAGCTCTAGTAATGAAGGGCTAGCATGATGGGACGTATAGGAATGTTGTCCGCTCCAGTAAGCTGCCACATAGGAGGGAATGAGCCTACTTTTGTTCACTTTTTTCCAGAGTCCTTTGCGATCAAAACGTTTGGCAATATTTAAACCCAGGTTCCCTAGATTCCTGGACAGCAAGCGGCTGTGTTTCCGCAACAGTTATCATAGCCCTATTAAGAAAATCGAAAAACTTCTTTTTGAGTGCGCCATCGGCTGCTGCGAGCGTGGCAACCTGATCGGACGCAAGATACAACACCTGCTCCCAACAAAGGAAGTTAAGAGTGTGAATATCATGCCCTTGGATCCACATCCCATTACATACGCGCACGTACCTCACTCTCCCACATGGGAGGTGATCAATAGTCGCGAATGAATGCCGCAGTGCGAGAAACTAAGTAGTGCAGCGATCTGCGGATGGTCTGTGACTTATCCTATACGCCCTTCCCCACACCTTTATCACCAGTTCCGAGCAGCGACTGATCAGTGGGTGGTATGAAATGTCCAAGCCAAGCCCACAATTTTACTGATTGGACGATGATGAAAAAATAGCTGGCAGTGGGCCATTTCAATCATTGGAGAGGAGTAGCCGCGATCATGACTAGTACTGTTTGGTGTATAGTCACCTTGTAAAGTATTTTGAGATAAAGATAAGTCTGATGCTAAAGTGTAAACTTACGTAGATAGCTGGAGTTGATGTGAAGATACCGATGCCAAAAGATAGCAAATTAGTGAGCGACGTAATCGAGATCGATGGACCAGCATCAGCTAGCGTCTCTGCGATCCGCTTTCGTACGGAAAGCCTGAAGTGTACGTTCAATCCGCAGAAACCGCTAACAGGTATGAGAAACCACTCACTTATCGTTTGTCAAATGAAAGCAGTGGATAAAAATGAACACATCATCAACACCTATAGCTAGTATTAAGAAGGGTACTACCGTGACAATCGGTAGAAATTCGAATCCCATCTTAAACATTCGAATTTGATCGTCGAAAACATAAGTAGAAGTAATCAAGAAGGAAGTAAAAAAGTTTACCCAGAAAAGATGCCCAAATGAAGCAACGAGCGACAAAATTGGACAGATGACTCCAAGAAATGATTCAAGTGGATTACTCTTCACCGGATCTCTTCGAAGTGTCGTCGTCATTGTGAATACCATTAATATCAAAAACGTCACTCCCAAATATGGTATAGCAAGAATACCTTAACATACAACAAACTGAAATATGTTATTGAAAAAAAAACTTGTCCTGAAAGTATCACGGAAGAAAGTTGCTAGTTATACGGCTTCACATTACTAAACGCATCGAGAGGACAATGATTATGAAGATAAAAATGCGAAGTAAATCATATTTTTCGTTGCTTACCCTCACTCCCTCCCCTACTTTTTGCAGTAATACTGCGCGCGATCAGTGGCAGAGCTGCACCTGATGTACCTGGTCTTACAGCAATTCCCAAGAGATTTTTTCCTTCTCTCCGTATACCATTGGGAAAGCTGAGCAGGAAGTCAAGTTCAGGACTTTATGTTAAAAAACTTTTTCTTTCGATGGAAAACCCTTGGAAAAGAAGTATGGTGGCGCATGTCGGAGAGAAGGGGTGGGACAGAATATTAACTTGGACAGAAGGAGGTGGCGGATGACTCCACAACACCTGCCGTATAAATTTGACATTTTTAATGATAAATAATTAAATCAACGCAATAAGAATTTTTCAAACATTCACCTGTCCTTCGGACTTCTTCAGAAACGAGACCTTCACTGGTACAGAAGACGTGTACAAGGGGATCCTTCAGAGTAGATTGAGAATATTCAAAGACTGCCTAAATGACCTGATAATAGGATAACTTGGTTCGGATTCAAAGATTTCAGAAGCTCATGCCTTCTCCCATTTGCGCATAATCGCCACAGAGCTCTCATTGTTGTAGATTGCATGGAAGTTGATTGCAATCAGGCGAGATTCTTCGACGATCTGAGACCTGCAGAATGATTAAGTGACCCGGCTCAAAGCTATGAAAGGCTGTCTTACAGTAAGACGTCCACTTACAGATTGTTGACGGTTACCACAAAAATGTTGTTCGCCAAGTAAACATGATGGCCAAAAACGTCCATTGAGGGATATGTAAGCTTCACATGTTTCGTGCCTTTCATTTGTTGATCACGAAACATTGTAAGAAATATGCTAACCTGAAAATAATAAAGCTATAGGGGTTGACCCAAGGGGTTTGAGGTATCGATTGATTTGTTTGCCTCGGAGAGGACCCGAACACGGCTTATGCTTCCAATGCTTATGCCTCGTCCTACTTTACTTACTTTACTGATCTCTATTTCAACGATGAAGCAAAAAGATAGAAGGAAGGGGTTTAAAACCTCCTAAGAATAAAAGAGTTCTACAAACCGAGTACGTCGGCAAATTAAGCATTCACAAGCCATGTCTAAATCTTGAATGGGAGCCAATCAAAGGGGCACCTATGGTTTTGAAAAATTGAAATCGATAAAAAACTGAAATATACTGGAATTTTAAAGAACATAAAAAGCTCACCGCATCGCTGGTTTCACATTGTGTACCACAAAAATCCGAATACGAATACCATTTCCCATCATGTTCTACTTTCAGCTTGTACTGTAGAAAGTCCTCTATTTCTATTGCCTTGTCGATGTATCTGTAAAATTTAAACACTTATTTGCTTTAATTTTCCCATCTGAACTGCTTACTTTGGTCGTAGTAGATTCCCTTCATCCGCAGCTTTTAAGGCAACGACAACATGAAACGGACTGCCCAACTCTTGGAAGAATTCCCGTGCCACAGCGAACTCGTACCGAGATGGAGAGTCGGCGGCACTGAAAATATTCGTCACCATAGGAACTGGTAGAATCTGACATTTTTCCTTGGGAAAAGGATAGGGGGAGCAGCTAAAAATGCTGCGCTTCGCAAAATCGGGTCCCAGCCGGCTACCGATACTTCTCATTTCATAACTCAGATCGTGGGAGACTTACCAGGACGATAAAATCTGATTTGCCGCCCCAGTGGGGAGCTAACGCCGTTAAATTTCGATGGGTTGGGAAGAAGTCAAGGGGCATTTCGGAGAAAAAGTGATCAACGCTATAAGCAACGTCGTTTACCAGTTCGCACGACGATCGTAAGTGAGTTACTTGAAGAGTCCGAGCGAAACAGGTTGCCCAATTAGCATCGTGTTTTATCTTTAACGCTGACGACTCCTTTTGTTTCTTCGGTTCTTTCCCTTGTCCTCTTAGCGACATATCCGTAACCGACGCAAGCAATTTGTCAAGCCAATTGTGAGGTAGGTGAAAGGATGCTCAAAATAGTGGAAACTGGAGTTGTCAGCTTGGTTATCATGGCAAGGGACATCATGGCCACATGTCAGTGGTAGAGAATGATGGTCGTTTTTCACGCTTCTTTCCTTCTTACGTTAATCAGGATCTATCGTCCACTTTCACTTTTCGTCTACTATGCCATAAAAGGCGGAGGCGGAGCAGTGCCAAGTGGCGCGTTACATGCATGGTCTGGGGTCGAGTCCTAGGCCGACAAACTCTGAACCAACCAATCTTTCCATCTATCTGTATTCGTCTAGGAGAGTAAAACGCTTATTTGTACATTGACTAGCCTCCCCAAGTCATTGTTTGGGCCATATACGCGTTCAAATGCCACTGAAATTCTGAATGGGAATCGAATAAGTGGAGGCATCTTATGAAGGGATTGGTAGTATAGAGACTTCAAGGAAAAGCTTCATTTTTCTACTTTTCTTCCATACCCATGGCTTGTCACTTTTCGACATAAGTTGTCACAGTGAATGTTGTAGCTCCAGGAAAAGGTCTGAATTTTTCTAAGCCCATCTTATTCTAGCTCTATCAGTAGCTTTTCTTTGACCTCACTCCCCATTGAACTGATTCCAATTCCCTTTTGTCTGATGCCGTCATTTTACCGTTGCTATGATGAATAGAATCGCCAGAAAACAAGATCGAACTAGGCCACGGCTGAGAGGTAAAATGTGATCGTCTGAATGATTATCCATGATCCGGATGTGAAACAAAAACGAAAGCGTTGCACATAAAGTGGAGTAATGTGCTCTAATCATTCCAATCGAATGACTATAATAACAATGCCATTCTGTATAAAATCCTTGTCGGACATCAACAACATCGGCGACTCCTTCAGCTCAGTATATTAGTTCTCGGAAGAGGGCACAGTAGACAACGGATAATGAACCTTCAGACCACTAAAAAGTTCTAGTCAAAGCCGTCAGCAGTAACAGATACTCCCCCTCCGTACTCGCTGATCAACATTCAAGAAGCTACTCAGTTTGAATACTCAACAGAAAAATACCCTGAAAGCTTCCGAGTGGAAAGTGGATGCGTGGCCCAACTATGTGATCCGCTTTTGAGTAGCGAGATTTCCAATTAACGAGTTCGAGCTGGCCGCTCTCAGTTCCTGCCGAATATGCAGGATGTACCGTAAACTACTGCTGATAATTAATATCCAGGCCGATCACAAGCCGGTAGATTTAGGCCATCTTGTCTAACATTTCCCCTATAAAACCTCCTGAACAATCTTAAACACCGGAATGGGGGCTTCTTGCTCTGATTCTAGCCGCCATCCAAAAAGTCTGTGTTCTGTAGAAGAACTATGAATGTATGTAACGGGCCATTTAATATCAGCTACGGAATAAAATCACGCTCAATGGTAGCAACTTCGTGCGGCTTTCGGAGAGAACTCAAAAACATTCAGGCCGTTTCCTTTCCCTCAGTGATTTTCTGATGAGCACTCGTCTACCAAATGAAGCGAATAATATCTGGTTATGACGGATATCGGTCGAAGAAAAACCTAACATGTCATTTAAAATGGCAAATCTAGCTCAAATCTGTCAAACCGGTAGGAATCTCCAGACAGCCAGTCCCACAGAAACCAAAAAATTAGTTTTCTCTTCCCGGTGGTCATTACGCAAGCGTGGCAGATTCACAGAGGCACAGAGATATCAAAGGCTCATTTTATCGAAAAAACTCCGCCTACCGCAGGTAGCTCCGCCTTTCTAATTTGCGCTGATTCCTCGCCTGAAGAATGCGGAGGCTTTCCATAAGCTTCTAATATTGCTGTTCCTCCAGTACCCCATTTGACTAGCACATACACTTTAATTTTCAAACGCCAGAGCTTAGACACAGCAGTTACGAAAACTATCTTCAGAACCCGAAACTGAAAGGAAACAAAAGGGAGCACTATAAGTTGAAGGAGACCCACTATTACCAATCGAGGAGTGAGTAAAACAGCGTTTCCGAAGCAGCCAGTGAAACCCGAACAAGAATGCTGGGAGTCGTGTTCAAGTTGTGCATACTAAACGAAAGTCAAGGATAGGGGACCACTCGCGTCGTAGATTATTTCTAGTCGCATACAAAAAATATTGAAAATCCGAAAGAAGATGGAAAGTCTACTGGACCAGTAGCCATACTTTGGCTCTTTGGTATTCACTTCATCGAAACTGAAAGATTTTGGAATTGATCAATCCCCTTTTGGGATGCGCCCCCATTTGGCTGAACCCTGAGGGATGAAAGGCTTGGTGAATTGATCCCATACTATGCATGTGGTAGTGTGTGTCTCTTGACACCACACCACCTCCGCCCATACTCTTCAAAAAATTACAAAAATAAAACCTAAACGAAGTAAGCTACCAGAAATACTAATGGATTTCAAAACTCACCTGAAATGATCACGCACGTTGTTAACCTCCTTGAATCGTGATACTCCACCGGCCATCAAACATGCCCATATGACACTAGAATGACAGAAATGATTTTCACCGTGACTTTCTTTTCTGTCATTAGTCCCTCTTTGGGTTTTTCTTTTCTTATAAAAAAATATGCCACTCATACCAAATCTATCTAAATCAAATCTTAAGAAATTTTGTACGATTGTTTGTCGTTGCGACCACAAGCCGACTGAAGACGTAGAACTTTTCATAATTCTTTTTCTTATTGAAAAAACAATCTATACGTCTACTAAATATGCCATTGTTGAGATGATATCATCCGCTACTTTAAATCCATCACTTTAAATTGATATCTATGGAAAAGCACAAAAATTGACATTGACATTGGCTGACTTCCGGGAGTCACTATATGGGAGGCAGTAAGGAAAGGATTGCTGTTTAACGCCGAGCGATGTATCCTCCCGAAGTAAGCTACTGAAGAGTACTTCCCGAAAAGGGAATAGCCGAGAGCGAAAAGCGGTACACAATAAGCCGCACACACCGAGTTACAGTTTGATTCTGTCCATTGCCACTACTCCACATGTACATGTCCTTGTTACTGATAATTATTTTTACCGGTTCTGCTACTCGAAATGCAAAGAGGTGGGTGATAGTTCCACTTATCCTCTTACGAAATGCCTTCGCGATAACTTGGAGTAGTTCATTCGCTTTAAGATAGCCGAAGGAATATTTCGTGATCAAAAAATGGAGTTTGACGCTGNGCATGGAAAAAGAGAAATTTTGGACTGAAAATACAGCCTCGAATAATTTCGTGTACTCTAGTTAAATTCAATTTCCTTTTTGCAAACTCCTTGTCTTGCAGCTCTACATCAACTCGTTATTCAAAGAATACACAGTGTGCTACCACGTATCCGATCGTTCTAGGCCTACTCCCTTTCTTGCACCTATGGAGGGGGAATAAGCCGAAACGGTGAGTGCGCGAATCTCCTAAGTATCGCATTTATGTCCTCGAAGAGCGGTTTTAGTAGTACCCACGAAGTTCCATAAATAACATGTGAAGGGCTTACTTTAGTGCGAATGCGCTCGTCTTCACGGCGCTAAGGGGAGCAAGTTCTTTTGTGGTTAGCAGCTAGGATGTGGAGGGGTTTACGAGAGAACCGGTTTCGGTTTACTAGCTCAATGCGGATATGACGGAGAAATCTGACGCGACCTATATAAGCACAGGACCTAACGCTAAAATGTTTCAAGTCATCAATAGTATAACCCAGACTGTACTTCCATGGGTCAAAATCAGAACCAGTTAGCTCAAAAGGTAGAAAAAACTGAAAAAGGTCACTCATTCTTTGCTGAGTTCACTTTCAATTAAAAATTCTCTTCCAGCAATCACCCCCAATCAGTTCAGACAGTACTTGTACCGGCTCAAGGATTCCATTGACTTATGCAAGATGTCAGCTACTCGATTAAATACGTTCATCTAAATCCCTCATACGCAGCAAGGTGGGAGCGATTAAGGCCATCGGACCGTGTTCATGGGGTGAGGTGATGGGTGAGGTCGTCGTCAGATGGATGGTGAATGCCCATCCGTCAGAGGCTCTCCGCTCCGGTAAGCACAAAAGATCTCCCTGTATTCTTATCGTGCGATATCGTAACGCGCAAGACAACGGGCGATAACCGTGGTTGACACATTTTCAGAAACGAAACGAGCAAATTTTTGTCGATCGAATAGATGGACTATGAAAGCGAAACTTTCACTTTCATTTGAACCAGCGGTAGCTCCCATCAAATCAATTATGCATAAAATCGATTCAAAAATGTCTGATCTCAAAGGAGAAATAGCCGGTGGATGCCAAACATTTATAAACACCACACTTTTTGAAGGAGGGTCAACAATCGGTATGAAAGTCGTGTAGGCTCTCCGACGATTCAGCTCCCTGAGGCACAAAGGGTCTGGTTTGTCCTTACGGAATTCGATCGGGGAATGAGCCGTCAAACTGTGTGGTACCACAGCCGATGACATAAATTTCAGTAGAACCTATCCAGATCGACCACTCATATACAAATTTAATCCACTGTCATGCTTTTAGAGAACCCAAGCCAATCAACGTGTACTAAACGACCAGCGTACGGGCAACCAATTGGTTCGCTATGGGACGAAGAGCCTGTTATGATGTGAGGACAAAAGTTGTCTGTCTAGTGGACCGACGCGACGCTGAGTATTAAGGTGCCTCGAATAGCGTCGTCAACGAGCT